GAGGAGTCCGCGTGGCTCCTCCCCTTGTCCCGCTGTCGTGGTCAGGGTGCCCCATGTTCTCCCTCACTGTTTCAGAGTGTCCCGTGGGCTGAGGTGTCCCTGTGTCCTCTCTCAGTGGGTCAGTGCCCCCGTGTCCCCTGCCGTGTGTAAGGGTGTCCTCATGTCCTCCTTCAATGGGCCAGTGTGTCCTCCGTGTCCCCCCTGCCGTGGGTCAGAGTGCCCCATGTCTTGCCTCTTTGAGTCAGAGTGCCCCTGTGTCCCCCCGCCATGGGTCACGGTGTCCCTATGCCCTCCTTCAGTGGGTCAGGGTATCCCTATGTGCCCATGCTGATCATGCAGAGCAGTTTTGGGGAGCACACCCGACACCCAAGGGGTCTGTGCCCTGCCTGGCCCTACCTGCTTCTGTCCCCACAGGTGTGCTGCCCCTCTGCCGCCAGCTGCCAGCATGGGGCAGAACCAGCCTGCAGCCCCCGAGTCCCCTGCAGCCCCTTGGCATCCTGCGTGCCCCGTGTCGTGCCTTCAGCAACAACAAGATCCTGGTGGAGCTGGATGAGAGCACAGGTTTGGCGGGTGGTACCTCTGCAGTGTCACCCATGTGCTGTGGGCTGTTGTGGGATGCAGGCAGGGTGCTCTCTCCTGTGCCAGCCACACGGCACATGTGGCTCTGGGTGTGGAAAGCCACCAGTGCCTCGGATGTTCCAGCCTCAGGTGCTCAGGACCCTAGCTGTAACCACGGGCAAACTTTGTGCCCTGTCCCCTTTGTGGGGTCCATGCTTTAGGGACCTGGTAGAGGTCAGGTGGAGGTCAGGGAGCAGTTGCTGGAGATTTCTGTGTCCTGGCTGCCGGGAGTAGCTGTCACGGAGCCATGTCCCCACACTGAACAAAGGGATGCCTCTCCTTGAGGCTTCCCAGGGCCTGCCTTTGGCTGCCAGCCCCAGTCCTCGTGCTGTTCCCAGACTGAGCACTCGGTGAGGACCTTTTGGGGTAGGATAGTGCCAGTTGGGAGGGTTCAGAGCCCTTCCTGCAGTGCTGGCCAGGGCAGCAGTGCTGTCAGCAGGCTCAAAAAGGTGTGTGAGGCCCTGGGCACGGGATGTTTGCTATAATAGAAGCTGGAGGCTCAACTTTACTTCGTGGCCCAGAGGAAAGGGACCTACTGGGCAGCACGACCCGAGAATTTGCTGCTTTTTGGGACACACCATGTGGACAGCACATGTTTGCTGGTTCATGCTTCAAGTTCACCGCTGGCTGAGTGAGCCTGGTGTGCAGGCAGGTTTTGGCCCCACCACTCTGGTGGCTTTTTGAAGAGCCAGAAATGGAAAGACACCATCTGGGGTGAGCAGGGAAACATAGAGATGGGTGAAGCTCCCTTGGGCAAGGCAGTGCATGCCCTTGTGTTGGGGGGTTCTGATGTCTCTGTGTTAACCATGGCACAGGCGTCGCCACGATGAAGTTCAAGAGCCCCCCAGTCAACAGCTACAGCCTGGACTTCCTCACTGAGTTTTGCATTAGCATGGAGAAGCTGGAGAACAACCGGGCCTGCCGGGGCGTGATCTTCACATCCGTATGTGTTGTCCTGAGCTTAGGGTGTGATTTGGCAGGCACAGGTGCTGTTCCCTTGCTCCTGTTTGGTCTTCAGGCTCCCTGGTCACTGGCATGGGAGGGCCTGGAAGCAGCTGGGAAGGAGGGGAAGGGGTTCTTGGAGCGGCAGTGCTCTTTCTTCACTGCCCTTTTCTAGTGGAAGAATAACAACTGAGTATGGTCATTTGTCATTTAAATCAAAGCTGCTTATCTGCAAACCCGACACATCCCTTGAGATCTCTTGAACTGCCCAGAGGGAGCTGCTAGGAGACGCCAGCATTTATTTTCAGAGGTGATGCAGGTACAAGATAGTGCCCAGGAATGGGACGGGGCAGGTTTTGTGCTGTGGCTGATGTACCCACACAGGGACCCTGATAATGAGAAATTGTGCTGCAAACAGAGTCCAGCCCTACAGGTTGAGGTGACAGGATTATCCAGGCCATGGGGAGATTGTTTCAGAACCCCAAAAGACCTTGGTTTATCTCATATTTAATTATCACTTTCCCTTTCCTCAGGCTACCAGGCTGAGTGTGTTAGAGAGCTGAAGGGTCACCCCTGAGCAGTGACTCTCAGTGACATTTGTTTTTTCCTGCTTCCAGGCCGTCCCCAAAATCTTCTCAGCTGGCCTGGACATCACTGAGATGTGCGGGAAGAGCATGGAGCACTACGCTGAGTTCTGGAGAGCTGTGCAGGAGATGTGGCTCCGTGTGTATGGCTCCAACATGGTGACAGTTGCCGCAGTCAACGTATGTCCTTTAGATCCGCCTCCCTAGTTGCCCCATGGGGTCTGTCACTTGCTGCAGCTCATTTGCACCGTGTGGGCAGGGACAGCCAAAAAACCAGGCTTGTCAGTGCTGAAAGAATTACAGGGATGTATTTGTTTGGAAGTCTGGGCAAAGTCCACGTTTGTCGGTTTGGCGCGTTGGGGCTTGGGAAGGTAAGGGGGCGTGGGATGTTGCAGGCTCCACGTAAGCTGCAGGCACTGCTGCGGCATAGCGGCATTTCATCTGTGGTGGAGACCGTGCGTGGCATTCGTGTCCTGCTGATAGGGACTGAAGTGCCCTTTTGTGCAGTAAGAGCCGTGGCCTGCCCCAAGAGCTCAGGTGGGAGTCTGTCCTCAAGGCTGGAGGACAAGGAGGAGGGCTGTAGGCCAGTGGTTAAGCCCAGAGGGGCACTGATGGCAGACGAGTAGCAGAGAAGCCAAGCGGTTGGCGTAGGGAGGAGTCCAAAGGACGCCTGTCACGTGCCCACCAGCTGCTTTCTCGGGGATGAGACTCATAGGAGTTGCTCAGGGTTGCTTGCTTGGCCATTGAACTGCTTTGGCAGTGGGGAGGAGACGGGAGGAAACCATGCAGCGCTGCAGGTGCTTGTCCTTGGTCCTGTGGGCAGCGATATTTTGGACATTGGGCAGTGCGGTTTATCATAAGCCCTTTCTTCACCAAGTTTTGCTCCTCCAGCCGTGGTTCTTCACCAGCAGGGAAGTGCTGTCTGAATCTCGGTGTCTGTAGATGGGTTGTTATGTGCTTGGTGTCATGTTTTTATCTTTCAGTTCAGTGCCACTTTGGCAGCTCACCGTTCTGTGTCTGTCCATAGACTGTCTTTGAAGGCTGCTGCGTCTCCCGCAGGTGTCCTGTGCAGGGTTAAGCAAGCACCGAGTTGTGGCAAAAGTGGTCACAAATGGAAGTTTTATAGACAGAAGATTTTACACAGCCCCAGGACAGAACCGTTTCTGTGGCATTTAGGGTTATAATCCCAAGTAGGGTTAAAAACTCATGCAGGGTTATGAGAAAATGCCATAGCAAATCTCCACTGCGGGGTTTGCAACCCAAGTAACACAGATCAGTTAACTAGATTTCCAGGCTGGAAAATGGAAGAAGCAAAGAGCATTGAAAAATGAAAGGATAAACCCTGGTAAACCTATCAGAAATCGTCTTTAGGTCTGTTTCTACTCAGGTAATGAGAGAATTGGGGGACAAGCTCTGTCACCCTGTGTCTTCCATGCACTGGAGAACACAGCGAGGCTGGGGTTGCAGGTTGCAGGGACATTTGTAACCAGTGCACAAGGGCTGACCTGGACTCTCTCCTTCCTTCCCTTTGCCAGGGGTCCAGCCCGGCAGGAGGCTGTCTCGTTGCCTTGTCGTGTGACTACAGGATCATGGTGGAGAACCCCAAATTCATCATCGGCCTGAACGAAGCCCAGCTGGGCATTGTGGCTCCCTTCTGGTAGGCCAGTGCCTCCCACTTCCACACTGTGTCAGTTGCAGGTCTCTGATGAGAATTCATCTTCAAGGAGTTTATTAATCAGTTTTGCTGGCCGCTGAGATGTAGTTTTATGTCAGTGGTCAGGTCGTAGCAGCAGCAGGAGACAGCACCTCATTTCTCTGTCCTATCCTGCAGGGATGTGAGAAGCTCTCAAGCTGCAGAAAGTCCTCATGTCCTTCACCAGCGAGGACCTCAGTTCTGACTCTGCAGTCAACTCCAAAACTAGTGCTGGGAGATGTCCCTGGTCAGGCTCAGTCTAGGAATATGCTTTCCTGTTGGTACAGGCTGTGTACCTGCAAAATGCCATAGCTGTGGAGATCTCTGGAAGCATAAGGGCACTAAGATACTGAGGCATGGACCCTTGGTTGCCCTTAGAACAGGTAAATGTACTGTTGGAAAGGAAGGAGTGGGCACAGCTGAGGCCTGTGGACTGAGGGTAAATAGAGCAGTTCATGGAGAGGAGAGGGAGCTCTTGGGGTAGCACCGAAAATGGCTCTGCTCGCCTGACTTTGTACAACATGCCTGAGCCTGGAGCTGCTGTTTCAAGACCCACGCCTGGGGAGTGGGACTGAGCGTGCTCTTAGCTTCAGTGTCTGCGTGCAGCTACCGCTGGGTGTTTCCTTCCCTGACTGTGGCTTTTCCTCCCATGTCTTCTAGGTTTAAGGACACATTTGTGAATGTTGTTGGACACCGAATTGCTGAACGCTCCCTCCAGCTGGGTTCCCTCCACCCTGCACCCGATGCCCTCAAGCTTGGCCTTGTGGATGAGCTGGTGCCAGAGGAGAAGCTCCAGGAGAGGGCTGTGGCTGTTATGGCACAGTGGTTGGCCCTTCCTGGTAAGGGTGGCACCTCCCTTACCCCCCTTAGGGCATCTGAAGGGTGGGAAGGACACGTACCGGGACTGGTACCTGCGAGCTGTGTAGCAGTTTCCATTTAAGGGGAAGGTGTGGATTACTGGGAGGTAGGAGAGCTCAGCACTGTGGTCCTGGCAGCCTTGAGTTAACAGGGAGGGGCTTGCCAATGCACCCGCACAGGGGACACCATGCTGGGTGTGCAGGGCACGTGGCTCCAGCTTGGCTTGCCCTGCCAGCACTACTGAGGAGGTGCCTGGGCTCCAGACACAAACTGAATCTCCATGTCTTTCAGTGGAGGTGTTACCCCAGAAAGAGGATCCCTAAACAGCACGCTCTCCCCCACTGTCCTGACGTTAGAGAGAAACCTCAGCCCTAATAGTGGGGAGCATGTCTCAGTTGTGCTGTCTCCTGACTTGCAGGAGGCACCATGCAGCTCCTTCCTCAGAGCCCTAAATCAGACCCAGGGAGAGTCTGGGTACTGGTGTCGGTAGCACATGGATGCTGGAGAGATTTGAGGTTACCAGTGAATGGGGAGGGTTGGTCATCATTTCACTGTTGCTGTTGCAGCACATTCAGAGTGTGCATGCAACATCTGTGCAACAAATGTGCTGCTGCATCCATGTGTGTGAGCAGATGTGGGCTCAAGGCCTTGGTCAGCTCCAGCAGCCTGCACTGCCCCAGCAGCATCCACGTATCCGCACTGACCTGGCCCAGAGCCTGCCAGCGGGGTGGACTCAAGGGGGCAGTGCTGCTGGCTTTGGTATGATGTCTTTAGCATGAGCAGACTGTCCTGCTAGGGGTCAAAGGACTTGGGTTGGGAGAGATTGAGGGAGCTTTTGTGTTCAGTTCTGGGCCCCTCAGTTCAAGATGGACAAGGAATTGCTTGTAAGAGTCCAGTGCAGAGCCACAAAGATGATTGAGGGAGTGGAGCATCTCCTGATGAGGAGCGGCTGAGGGAGCTGGGTCTCTTTAGCTTGGAGAAGAGGAGACTGAGGGGTGACCTCATTCATGGTTATCAATTTGTAAAGGGTGAGTGTCAGGAGGAAGGAGCCAGGCTCTTCTCTCTGATGTCCAATGACAGGACAAGGGGCAATGGGTGCAAGCTGGAGCATAGGAAGTTCCATGTGAACATGAGGAAAAACTCATTTACTGTAAGGGTTACAGAGCGTGCCCCAGGCTGCCCAGAGAGATTGTGGAGTCTCCTCCTCTGGAGACATTCAAAACCCACCTGGACTTGTTCCTGTGTGACCTGGTCTGGGTGATCCTGCTCTGGCAGGGGCGTTGGACTGGGTGATCTTTCAAGGTCCCTTCCAAATCCTAATATTCTGTGATTCTGAGAGCTTAGAACCAGAGCAGTTTCAAATAGCAGAGAATTGTGTTCGGTTGCTGCTGTCCTGAGCCCAGTGGTGTGTGTTGTGGTGGGGGCTGGGCTCTGGAGGGCACAAAGAGAAGGAGATGCGCAGCTTTTTTTCATCTGTTCAGTAGTTGAGTCATTTCCCCACTGAGTGGTACAGATCATAATTTATTGCACAAGAATGTATCCAGTTCAGCTTCCAGCCGATGGTTTTTTCTGACATCTTTCCCTGCTGGTTTAAAGAGCCCTTTGGTGTGCAGCTGCCCTTCTTTGGAGGCACCTGCACATGGTGGCAGTGGCTGAGAGCTGGGCAGGGGTGAGGACCACGTGTGTTCCCCATCCTCGCTCTCCTCTCTGCAGACCATGCCCGTCAGCTCACCAAGTCCATGATGAGGAAGGCGGTGTTGGACCGCCTGATAGCTCACCGGGAGGAAGACACTCAGAACTTCGTCAGTTTCGTCTCAAAAGAGTCCATCCAGAAGTCACTTCGCATGTACATGGAGATGCTAAAGAAGAAGAGCTGAGAAGCTGACAGCTGGGGCTCTGTCCCAGGAACTCCAAAATGCTGCAGTAGCTGTAGACTTTCACAGTGAAGTCCAGTGTCAGCAGTTGGAGACATGCTGCCTGCTCCTGTGGCCACCCCAACCACCCCTTCCCCTTAGTCCCTATAGAGTGCCTGACACCACCACTGCCTTTCTCGAGAGCAAAGAGAGGGTCTTGATGCCGCTGTGGCCAGAGCCTGCTGGTCCTTGTATATCCTTCCTCCTGTCCAACAGCTGACTGTGAAATTAGATTTTTCAATAAAGTCTGATGAGGAAGGAGGTGGATGCGTCATTCCCCAACCTGTCCGCAGTGACCACTTCCTGGTTGGTGGCTTGACGCTGGGTTCTGGTTTGTGGTGTGTCTCTTCTTCAGACCAGGACCCAGACCAGCCCACGTGCAGGGCTCATGGATGGGGCTGCAGGGAGCGCTTTCATGGAGGCTGGTGGTTGGGAGCTGGAGCTGGATTGTGGTGTGTAGCCACAGGAGGAGCTCAAGCTGCCAGCTTCGCCTCCACTGGGTAGTGGTCACTGACTGCCAGAGCCTGGAGGAGAGCGAGAGGTGAAGAGGTGTAATGCAGGGGTTCGGTGAGCCCCTTGCCCCTCATAGTGGTGGTGGGGCCAACAGGGCAGCTGTGATCACCCTGCCAGACCCTTCTACCTGCTGGAGGGGGTCGTCATGTCCCCAGCCTTGAGACACTCAACACAAGGCTCCAGTTTTGGCACCTCTTGTGGAAGATGCCCAAGTGTGGCCTGGGACAGGTGCTGGCAGAGAGGTGCCTGCCCTCCAAGACCCCAGTGTCTCACTTGAGAGCTCTGTGCCAGCTGTGAGTGCTTGGAGCTTGGCTTTGATTGCCCCATGCCCTGGGGTCCTGCCCATGCCCGCTCATGAAAGATCACAAAAAACTCCATGCGCCTCATCTCTTCCCCACCGGGACAGGCAACAACCCCAAATCCCCTTTCCTGTTTCCGCCCCTGGGTCCCTTGTCACCCCAAGCTCCCTGTTAGCTGGCTGTGGGCTGCCACGTCGCGGGAGGGGAGTGTTCCTTACACAGAGCTGTGCTAATGTCCCGGCAGACAGGCACTGGGTAGGGGCACACGTGCTGTGTCTGGAACCAGCTCAGGCTGCTGCTGGAGCTGCTTCAGCTCCATTTTTAAGTTGATACTCAAAAGAGGCAGCTTTGCAACTGCACCAGGCTGCTTAATCCCAAACAGACACTGGCAGCCCTGCAGCTGGTGCTGCCTAGGGCACCTCAGCTTTAGTGGCTCTTTGAGCTCCGGCTTTGCATGTCCCACTCACCTCCTCCTGCTCCAGCCGGAAAGCACGTTGGAAGTTGTAGATGGCAGCTGAATTTGGCACGATGCTTCTCTTCAGCTTGGCGCCACACACCACGATCCTGCCAGGAAGACACAGGCCGTGGGTCCTGCTGCTGCCCCCGCACTTGGTGGTGGTGCCGGCTACAGGGGAACCCTAGGGTGCTGGGGAGGGTAACGGTGCTACAGTGGCGCTCACCTGTCATAGGCACAGTCCGACTTCCCCACGGTGGTGTCAGCATCATCGGGGAGCAGCCACTTGAAGATGTCACTGGTGCGCAAGCGGATGGCTGACCAGTCGCTCGGCTGGACGTAGGCACAGTCAGCGTTGAAGTCCCCCAGGAACATGATGTTCTGTGGTGAGGAGATGGGGGAGTCATGTCAGCTGGGTAACAGGGCTGCCCTTGACACCAGCCCTCCCGTGGGGACCAGACCCTGCTTCAGGTCAGCTCTGGGTGCCATGGCATCCCCCATGGCAGGGGACAGGGCAGGAGCAGGGCCCCACCTCACCACCCTTGCACCAGCTATGCTTGCCTCAGAGTGAGGACTCAGCATGGGTCAAGTGGTCCCCAGGGCTCAGCGCCCACCCTTGGTGCCTCCCCTGGTGCTGGCGGCACTCACGTCAGTCCCCCACTTGTGGAGAATGGCCAGGTAGACATCATAGAGTGCATCAATTTCGGCGACGGCATCGTGTGGGGCTGAGTGCAGTGGCACTAGCACAAACTCCTCTGCCTCTGCCAGAGGAGAGGGACATCAGACCCATGGCCACCTTGAACCGCCACCCGGGGCCACCTGACCCCCCTGCTTACTGGTGTGGGGTGCTGAGACCCTCAGGATGAACGGCTCCCGGCTGAAGACATCCTGAGGATCCTCATATTGGTAGGTGTCCACCACGGACACAACGTCTGTCCTGTGAGACCAAAGGAATAGTGACCCCGGGGCTTGACAGGGCCCCTGTGCCCCCTCCATGGCATCAGTGGCCCCACAGTGCTGTGGGACAGGCAGCAGCGTGCCCAGCCCTGTCACCTGTAGATGAATAGGTACATCTCCTTGTAGTTTTCCCGTCCCAGGAGGCCGCTGATCTCGTAGTCATATGGGGATGTGGACATGCTGTGAAGATGCAAAGGCAGGACAGTGACGTGGCTGGCACCATCCTGGGGTGGCCCCAGCACGGCCATGGGCTGGGTGGCCATGGGATCAGAACCAGCCAGTCCTGCTCTGCCGTCCTCGTGGGCCACTGTGGCCTGGCCATGGGATGACATGAGGTATATGGGCTCTGAGCCACCCTGCTGTCCCCACCGCCCTGGAGTGGCTCCATGGACACAGCCGGCCATCAGGAGGGTGCGGGACAGCTCCTGCCACCCATTTCTTTGCAGGGATGCTCCCCACATTCATTTGCAGCAAAGCTAAATTAGGTTAATGAGCAGCCTGGGGCTCCACGGAGCCTGGCGTCACCCTCCCTGCCCTGGCTGCTTTGTGGCTGTGCTGAGGGGACACCAAAGAGGCAAGAACGTGGGCTGGGCGTTCCTGCTCAGGAGGACTTGCCACCTTTCAAGAGGGCAGCAGTGTCATCCGCCCAGTCCCAGCCTGTGGCCTCACTTAAAACAGGGTCAGCACTCAGTGGGCTAAAAGCCCACCCCAGCAGTCCATTTGCCTCCTGGGGTGCCTGATCCATTGGTTTCAGAGCATCATCTGCCACTGGATCCATCCTGGGGTCCCTCGCTGGGGTGCAGGAGGCTCCCTGCCTTCTTCATTCCCCCTCTCGCCTCTGGCCTATCCTGTTGGATTTTGGAGACGGAGCTTGCCAGAGCTGTAGTTCCTGTCCTTCCTGTGCACTCTGGTGGGGTTGCAGCTTTCAGAGGGGTTTTCTGCCACTTGTATCTCCCTTCCCCTCCCCAGGTTATTCCCAGTGGCTTTTTCAGCACCTGCTCAGAGCTTCCTCCCCAGCACTTATTCCCCTTTCCAAAAACAAACCCTCTGCTGATGGATGACTTATTTGACCTTTTCTGGCTCGGGCAGCTTGGCTTTCCCAGCTGATGCTGGCGCCTCAGCCCAGACACACTCAGCCCCAACCCCGCTCATACCTGTTGAGCTGCTCCATGAGCTGGGTGACAGCGCTGAGGTCAGAGTCGCGCACCTCCTGCACCAGCACCACGTCGTAGCGGCGCAGGATCTGTGGGGCCAAGAGGAACAGCAGTGGAGAGAAGAAGCCTGTCAACAACAACCTGTCACTGGCTCGGGGTCACTGTCTCCCACCCGGGCACTCCAACATTACACTGGATGCAGTGCCATGGGGACCTGCTTGTCCCTCAGTGCCGGGGCAGATGTCCCCACAGAGGGCTCAGGGGGACCATGAGGTCTGCCTGATGCCCCACTTTGTTCCTCACCAAGCCTTCATCCCCTCAGGGTATCCCCAGCACTGGGATGCCACCCCATCCACAGTCACGTCGCCACGTGTCCCTGGCACAGGAGTCATATTTTGGTTCTGCCCCAGCACACAGCCTGTCTCACACTCACGCTGATGATGATGCCCGCCACTTCCTCGTTGGCCATCTTGGTGTCACCGAACGCCTGGATGTTGAAGGCACCGACACGCAGTGTGGCCGTGGCCAGGCATGGGAGAGCCACAGCCAGAAGGGATAGTGCCAGCATCATGGTCCCCATCCTGCCAGGAGGGATGCTGAGCCAGAGAGATGCAGTGATGAAAGCCCAACTTGGAAAACTACTTTGGATTTGGGCACAGAGAAAAAAAATACATGTAGATTCTTCCTAAGTCCTGGTGTGGAGCAGTGTGCTGTGGTGGGCAGCCCCTGCAGAGCTGGCACAGGCTGTCTGCCAGCTCGCTGGTCCAGGAGAAGCTAAATCCTGTCTCGCCGTGTTGAATCCACCCAGCAGCACCTCTCCTAGTACCCAGGATCGCCCAGCTCCACTCCCTGCTGGGACATCTCCAACGCCCAGCAGCCTCAGCCACCACTGTCAGCACTCCGGGCTGCTTCATATCCTTGAACTTGATCACAGCCCCTGTAGCTGGGGTAAGGGAGCAACTCCTTATCCCAGCTCATCCTAGTCCCTCCCAGTTTATGACTGAAGATGCCGAGCCCAGATCTGTCCTTACCTTGCCAAGTGCGCAGCACCTCTGTCCTCCCAGCGACAGGATGGGCGGCTTTATTGCCAGTGGAAGTGCAGGCAAAGCAGGATGAGTCGGACACCCCCGTGGGGGTTTTGTCATGGCTTTGGGCTCCTTCCTACATTGGGAAACCAAAAACCCACAGGGCAGCAGGGTGGGGCTGGCATAGCCACCTCTGTGCTGTTGTGGTGAAGGGTGGCTGGGGAGGTACGGTGGTGCTGGGGCATCCTGATGGGGCTGGGTGGGCATGCTGGACTCAGGGTGCTGCAGTTGGGGTGGCCCCCTGGGTCACAGCACAGGGCATGGCAGCCAGGCAGGCGGTGAAGGGCAATAGCCTTAATGGGGGTGATTCAGATGGTGTAATTAGAGAAGAGAGAAGGAAATGGCGGTGTGTCGGGGTCAGGCAGGCTGAGCACCATCAGTCTTGCAAAGGAGGGCAACTGTACACCCCTGCAGCAGCCCCGGCAGTCACCCAGAACAGCCCCACTGGTGACTCAAAGCAGCCCCAGTTGCCACCTAAAGCAGTCCCACTGGTGACCCGAATCAGCCCCAGTGAAGCTGGAATTCCCTGTGCTGGCACACAGCATCACCCTGACACACAGTGTCACCCCGACACATGGCATCACCCCAGCTGAGGGAGCGGGCAGCTGTGTCAGGGTGCCGGTGGCAGGCGGGCAGGAGGCGATGGACAGCTGCTCAGGTCGTGGCTTGCCGGGCTCTTGTGCACCACCAGGTTTTGCATCCTCACTTCCAGTCACGGGATGAGTACGGTGTCCCCAGACACAGTCCCAACACCGAAACCCTCTCAGTAGGCACTGAATTCCCCAGGGAACTGACTCATGGTCTCTGTCTCCCCCCACCCTCACCGTCAGCGCCTTGTCAGCCATCCCGCAGCCAGGCAGGTTCCAGCAGGATGTGGCCCCCGAGCCCGTGGAAGAGCATCCTGCTACCTGGAAAGGTGGCCAAATCCTGCCTGGAGCCTCCCAGGCCCTTCCTTGTGTCCCAGCAGCTCAGAGGAAAGCAGCAAGGTCTGGGACTCTCAGTGGCAGAAGGGGACCTCCAGCCCTGGGGACCTCCCTGGTTCTAGCCCCAGTGGTGGATGGAGGTTTGGGTGTTCGGGGCTACTGGGGAGACTGAAGGGACTCTTTTTCCAAAGCTGCAAAAGCTGGAAAGGGCTCATTTTTTATTGCAAGCTAAGGGCATCCCACTCCCACAGGACCCCAGATTGCAGCTCCTTGCAGAGACGGTGGACAACTCAGCTAACACCAGTGGTGCGTGGGCTCCCATGATGGACACGGAGGTGTGCCAGGATGTCCTGATAGCTGCTGGCACAAGGATGGGCTCAGTGGGCTTTCAGGGTCACCTCCACTGGGAAATGGTCGCTGACAGCCAAAGCCTGTATGTGAGGGCAAAGCAGAGAGGAGGCTGAGCTCATCCAGACCCATCATCGCTGTCCTGGCTGTCTGGGACCCCAACACTGCACTCCAACCCCAATATTTAGAGTATATCCCAAAACGCCCAGGCTGGGGAGCTGCATTGGTGCAGGGGTTGGGTCAGGCCACCCTTGGGTGCAACCCGGGGGTCAGGGAGCCCACCCACACTCCTGGGAGGCGTGGTGGGCTGGATCCCAGCAGTGGCAGGCTTGTGTGCCCCAGCCCCTCACTCACATCCTTGGTCTGGAGGTGGAAACGCTTCTGAAAGTTGTTGACGGTGGCGGAGCCAGGCTCAATGTCCTGGCGCAGTGCGGTGCCGCAGGCGACGATGCTGCCGGGGCATCATGGGGGCGTTAGCACCCACTGGTCCCCCCATGCCAGCCCCCACACCGCTGCCACGGCACCCACCGGTCATAGGCGCAGTTGGTGGTGGGGGCGACAGTGGTGTCAGCACTGTCGGGGATGAGCCACTCGCAGGCACGGAGAGAGCGCAGTCGGATGGATGGCCACTGGGCACTTGTCACGTAGGAGCAGCCAGCGTTGAAGTCACCCAGGAAGAGGATGTTCTGTGGGGCAGTGAGCTGTGTTCCTGCCCACAGACCTTATGGGGCAGCAAGGGCTCCCTAAAATCCTCTGGGCAGCAAGATACCTCCCTGGGGCTCCACAGCATGGAGGAACAAGCCCCCATTAATGGCAGCAGAGCCACTCAGCAACTCCCTGATTGGACATTGCTGGGGTGGCACCTGCTTTTATGTGTATGAGAGGTCTCCAGTGGGACACTTCCACCCCAGGACGATCACCAGGATGTGTGGTGGCCATACACCAGCCCACCTGGCTGCCCTGGGGAGGAGCCAAGCTCCCCACCATCGCTTACGTTGGTTGCCCACTTGTCGATGACATCGGTGTATACATCGTACAGTGCATCAATCTCATCTGCTGCGCTGCTGGGCTCGGCGTGCAGGGGCACCATCACAAACTCCTCCACCTCTGCTGGACAGGCAGCTGTCAGCACCCAGCTCAGGTGCAGCACACAAAAAGGGAGCAGAAACCCCAGGGGACCACCCCTGACCAAGCTCCACCTGCTGGCTGGGAAAAGCTGCTGAAGGGAAAGGGCGTGTTGGATTTTTATGGTCTGTCTGTCCTCCAGACTGGAATTTCCAGTGGGTAGCTGTGACCCTCTGCACATGGTTTGGGGTTTGCTGCTTGTTTCCCCTCATTTTTTCCAAGCTGTCATGGTTTTGGGAAGGAGATGAGGGTGGGAGAGAGATGAGAGAGTGTGTGTGCCCTAGGGAGCTGTTGGGGAAGTGGAAGTGATGGCATGGGGTAGGACATGGCACAAGGTGGGAAATGGGAGGTGGTGGGAGATACTACATGATGGGAGATGGCACAGGATGAGAGGTGGCACATGATGGGAAGTGGCAGGCAGCTGGAGGAAGCAGATGATGGGATATGGCACAAGATGGGAGGCAGCAGGTGATGGGATGTGGGACATGACGGGAAACAGCTGTAGACATGATGTGGCACAAAACTGTAGAGAGTGTATGGCAGACAACATGTGATGGGAGGAGATGGGATGTGGCAGAAGATGGTGGGAAAGAGCAGGCAGTGCTGGCCATGCTGGGCAGACACCCAAGAACTCTGAGCACCCGTGAGAAGGAGAAAGCCCCACAGCCATGAAGGACCCCAGTGGAGGCCCTGAGCTGGGCTCCAGGGTGCAGTCCCCCTGCCTGGCAGGTCTGGGCAGCCCCCAGCACCAGCCTCTGCTCACGTGTGGTGGGTGAGGAGAACTTGACAATGAAGGGCTCCCTGCTGAAGGTATCGGTACTGCAGGACTCACAGCCATCGTCGTAGTAGTAGCTCCCCAGTATAGAGACCATGTCTGACCTGAGACAGGAGAGTGAGACAGCCCCCAGCACCACTGACACAAGAGCCAGGGACTCCAAATGTGCCCATCTCCCTTTGGGGGTCACTGGGGAGGATTGTGAGTGACACAGGGAACACTGGACCCTGGCAGCGTGTCTTACCTGTAGATGAAGACATATTGCTCCTTGTAGCTGGTCCGACCCAGGGGGATGCTGTCCAAAAAGCTGTATGGGTGTGGGGACGCTCTGAGAGCAAGATGCAGAGAGGGTGAGAGCCCCCTCAGCACCCAGCGGGCTCTCTCTATCTGAGCTGAAGGTGCTCTGGCATGGCACGACACCAGCCAGGATCTGTCCTGGCATCCCATTTGCAGGCACCCCCCACCTTGTGCCATTGGGATCACCTGTTGAGCTGCTCCGCAAGCTTCTTCACAGCGCTCAGGTCAGCGTCCCGGACCTCCTGCACCAAGGTGATGTCGTACTCTGACAGGATCTGAGGGGACAAGCTCAGAGCTGCTCCCCCCTGGCTGGGAGCTATTTGTGGGGGCACCTATGGGTTCTTGGGCTGTGAAGTCTCCCAAGGTGGCAATGGGTTGGGGGGGGCATCAGGGATACAGGAGCCAGAGAGGGAGCTCTTCTACTGGAAGGACCCTGGGGTGACATGGTGCTGTCTAGCACCCATCTGTCTACCACCCACTATCCCAGCAACTCCTCACTCACAGGCTGCTGAGTGAGGAATCTGGGCAGCACCGAGCATCATCAGCTCTCGACTGGGGATCAGCAAGAGTGGAGATGAACCAAGATTGAAGTTGGTGATGGGGGACAAGCAGATGGGTGGAAGGATGGAGACATGGACAGATGGATGGAGGTGTGGATGGATAGATGGATGAATGGATGGAGGCATAGGTGAATGGATGGAAGTGTGTGGGCAGATGAATTGATGGATGGGTGGATGCACGGATGGACACAGATGGGTGGATGCTGGCAGAAAGCTGGTGTCCAACTGCCTCAAGCTGGATGCATTCCAGAGACCAGAGAGGGGCCAGGACTGCTTCTCTCCCCCAGCACTTACAGAGACGATGATATCTGCGATGGTCTGGTTGGACATCTTGCTGTCCCCAAAGGTCTTGATGTTGAAGGCGCTGATCTTCAGCGTGACGGCCACGTGCAGTAGGAAAGCTGCAACCAGCAGCGACAGCACCAGCTTTGAGAATGCCATTCTGCGTGCAGAGGAGCAAGGATGAGCTCTGCCCTGCTGTCTGGGAGGGGGATTTGGCACAGATTACGAGAGTGGCCAGAGTATTTCCACTGGCCATGCTGGTTTCCCTGGATGTCCATTTTCCAGCAAACCACCAGGACCCAGGGATGGTGCACCCTCACCCTGCCTGTCCCTCCTGGAAGGAGGCCAGACCACCCGCGAGGCCAGAGCGGATAATTCACTGGCAAAGGAGCAAATGCCATTTCAAGGTGACACGGGGCAGATGCTTCCTCATTCATCATGCACAGCCCGGATGCATCTCCTGGCCCTAGGGCGGGTGGCAGTGGCCAGGGACACCAACGTCCCTTGGCTTGCGCTGCTCCCACCCCTCCCTGGGTCTGCGCTAGAGACCTAGAAGACCTTACAGCAGCCATGCTGGGACAGAGCAAGGGATGGGTCCCCTCCTGACACCCCTCCGCAACTCCTTCCCTGCCTGGTGCATCCTCGCCTGGGGTATCCTGCTCCCCCTGCCCCCAGCACTGCCCCTGCCCCACCCTCACCCAGGCTGGAGCCCCTCAGGGCACCCTGGCAAGGCTGCGTGACGGCTTCCACCCATGGGGAAAGGCATCTGGGAACATTTCCCGTGGCACTTATCTCCCTGGGGTAATATTTCACCAGCGGATGGGATCTGAGCCCTGCCTAAGCCCAGGCACCCCAAGCACCTGGCCCTGCCAGGAGCCCCATAAGATGAACTGGCAAACTCTTCAGCTTTCGGCACACCTGAAGCCCAAGCTGGGGAAGGGCTCAGTGACCCTGGGCTTGCTTTTTCCTTTGGAGCAGCTGCTCTAGTTAAATCCTCACTTTTTCCTGCTTGCATCCTCGCTACAGCTGCAAATGCTACCATCCGTTACACTGCAGTCCCTGCATTTGGTAACGCAGTGATTCGGTAACACCCTGGTTTAGTAATGCTACAATTTGGGTAAATGCCAAAAATTGCCCAAAGCCCTGCAAATCCTCCCCCCTCCTGGGAGATGCAGCAGCCTCTGCAGTCTCACAGGCAGAAGCACCTATAGAGGACTGTATCCATCCCGGGCGATGCTCGTGAGCTGCACCTAGGCTCAGGCCTGGCAGAGCGTCTCAGCAAAATTAAGCTGATCTGGAGAAGGCAACATCGGAGAGGGGAGCTCCTGGGGCGCGAGGGGAGAGGGGAGCTGGACGTACCTGTGGTTTCGCTCAAGGTCTCTAGAACGGGAAGGAGCTGCACCTGCATTTATGAGGAGGGACATGCTCACCTTGCCAACTGGTCGCCCAGCCAAGAGCGTGTGAGGCCGCAGGCTCCATATGGCGTTTTTCACGGAAATAAAGGTCTGCTTGTTGGAAAAAACCTTTTCAACCAGTGCCAACACCTCCTGCCACAGGTAAGGCTGAGAATGTGCCTGAATCAATAAAAATGCTGATAGGAGATCTGTGATCTCTAAGTGAAGCCCAGAGACGGCTCATGGGGAATGGCAGCTCCCCAGTATGGGGCGTGGGCAGCTCTCACTCATCACCAGCTACAAGTTATCTTAAAAAGTGTTTATTTCACCAACACCAACTGTTGTCATCCTGCACACAACATTTCCAACAAGCTGTTTTCAGGCGATCATGCTGGGGACAGCGGAATCCTGGTGCTGGGAACTGGGTGCAGCCACTACATCCTGGCATGGCCCAGCCAGCTCTGGTCTTTGGATGTGGAGCTGAGTCGGGATTCCTGAAAAATGACAGGTCTTTGATCTCCAGACCCTTCCTAAGAGGTCACCCAGGGCAGGCCAGGGAATGGTGGCCCCCACCCTGCATGCTCCTGCAGCTCACCCCAGCCCTCCCCCAGCAGCCTTGGCTGATGTCCTGGCACTCCTGGCCTCCACGGACAGCTGCCACTTTTCCCAGGA